TCAAGGTTGAACGATCCAGCACGGTGTCAGGAACCAACGCCAGGGTCGACACGGCACGAACCTGCAGTACAGTGGCGTATCTTGCATCTTTGCTGTTTTCACACAGTTTTAGAGGATGTATTCAGTGGTTACTTCACTTCGGGAAGAACGGAGACGGGCTTATAGCTTAGCTGGCTTTTGCTCTTCAGCCGTGGACACGTGAGAGCAATGTGCCCGCGCGCCCGCTGTGGGGCACATGCTGCATGCGCTCGCAGCAGAGCTTTGCTTGGCGCAGCTCCCACTACGAAGACGCACTATCTCGGTCTTCCTTACTATTGTATATGACCCTCCTCTCTCTCCGCCCAGGTGAAAGCCTCGGCCAAGTATTTTCTCGCTTGAAGCCTGTTTACGGTGCCACCAGACGGCACGTCTACTGAAAATCTGGCAAGGAGTGGCGGTCGTTTACATTGTGACGCTCTTTGCATTTCAGTTTGCAATTCCTTGCCATCCGAGGCGGTACTACCACCGAAAAGCCTGGGGGGGGGGGGCTAGCTGTTATCGTCTTATAGGTTTTCATTGAATTCCTGGGGGTAGTTAATTACTAAGGTTCGTGCCGACCTCGAGGACCTGGCGGCCGACGCCTACTCTCTTTTACTCTTCTCGTCCTCACTTTGTTTATTGTATTTTCTGCGGCGCCCGCCGAGTACATCTCGAGCCGGTTCGTTCACCATCACGCTTTTTTTTTTCTCACATCCAGAACGCCACAGGGTATCCTTGGGTTGGTCTAGCGCAACATGGAGCGGCGGAGGAGGCCAGAGGGGGCGGTCAAGGAGGAGCAGGAGGAGGAGGGGGAGGGAGAAAGGGGATGAGCAGAAGAGGGTGAGTGGCACGAGAGGGAAGGGCGAGGAGGAAAAGGGAGAAGCAGGAAAGAAGGCCTCTCCGCGGTGCGCAGGGCGCTGGATCCCGTGGCGCCTGTCCAGTGGCCGCGCGGCGAGGTGCCGGAGGCCGCCCTGCGCGTGGTGGAACGCCTGGGCGACGCGCTGGACGAGGCGGAAGGAACGCGCTTTTTGTTGCTTGTGCAGTTGCTGGCCCTTCTCTATGTCTCCTCCTCCTCCCCCTCCTCCCCCTCCTCCCCCTCCTCCTCCTCCTCCCCCTCCTCCTCCTCCTCCTCCTCCTCCTCCTCCTCCTCCTCCTCCTCCTCCTCCTCCTCTTGGCCTCTCTTCCTCCTCTTCCCCCCCCTCTCCTCTTCCTCTCCTCTGGTGGCAAATCTTGGAAGCTTCTTGTACCCCAGTAGTGCCGCCTTTGGTGTACACTCGTGTCGGCTAGCGTCTTGTAGTTGATGAGATAGCACCGATTCAGCGCCGATTAGTCTCGACTAGCGTCGATTTAGCGTCGATCAGCGTCGACTCGCGTTAATGAGCGTCGATTCGCGTCGGTTCGCAACAGTTTACAATATGGCATGGTAGGGTTCCATGAGTTGCCACCGTGGAGGAAGGTTCCCAACGGGGGGGTGGCACCGCACGGAGGTGGCGGCCGCCACCCGCTGGTCACAGGCTCCTCTTCTCTAAGAGGAAGAAACGCAGGCACACACACACAAATCATCGTCGGTTCACAGGAGCATATGGAACATTTGGGAACTGGAGGGGAAGACGATCATCCCAAAACTATTGAAGGATATAGGGGATCCTGGGATTTGTGTCTATTTGTTGTGTGTCTCTGGGTCCCTTCAGTTCTTCTTCCCCCGAAGCGGGTGTCCTCGCCGAGCGGGACCAGTTCGTCCTCCCCGTCCTCCCAGGCTAGCTGGGGGAGGGCTCGCCTCGTGCAGCCCACTGGGCCGGTCCCGGTTCCAGGGGCTGTTCCTGAGTTCGGGGGCGGCAAAGAGGGGGGTGATGACTGGGGGGGGGTGGATATCATGGCGTGGGCCATGATATTTCCACAGATTTCATTGCGCCTCTCCTTATTTCATGACGTCCCTGGCCCCCCCGCTGGGCCGCGCACGTGCCGCCGGTCGTGATTTGCACCCCCCCCTCTTGGACACCCCCCTCATGATTTGCACCCCCCCCTCTTGGACACCCCCCTCTTGGCCGCTCCCGATGAGTCCCGCCCTGGGGGCGGCGGCGAGCGAGGATGCGAAGACACACGCAGGCTTCCAGTAGACACGCCTAGGGAAGGGACCGAGCTGCGCGGGGTTGTTTAGAAAGTGCCCAGGGCCCCAGGGCTGCTTAGTAAACGTCAATCGTGGGGTTCGGGGTGGTTTCTGGCGGCGAGCGAGGGGGGGGAGAGGTGAGAGGGAGGAGGCCTTCTCAGAGGCTGCGGGGCTTCTCATAATCCCGCTGGCCTTCTGAGAAGTGTTCAGTTTTTGTCGGAGGAGGCTCAGACGATTTCTCAGACGGCCAGGAGACTCCGAACCTTCTGAAAAGGCCTTCTCGATTTCCTGCCAAGGGTGACCAGCGGATCATCAACGTCCGTATTTTTCCCTCCCCTCCTCCTCCTCCTCCTCCTCCTCCTCCTCCTTTGGGCCTCCTCCTCCTACTCCTTCCCCTCTGGGCCTCCTGCCGCTCTCTCTTCTCCTGCAGCGGGGCGGAAGGGGCACAGCGCGCCATCCTGCTCCTCGCCCTCCTGCTCCTGCTCCCACTCCCTCTGGGCTCCTGGGCTCTTGGTGGCATCGGGCCGCGTTGGCTGCTTTGTCGGGCAGGTCTTTGATTTTCGAGTTCGCGCATGCAACGGCCCAGTCGCAGAGGGAGGAGTCCGACCTCGAGGCGAGCTAACTTTTTGTGGGGGGGGCTTCCTGTCGGTGGGCCCCCGCCTGTGGATGTAACCCAGGCGGGGAAACAAAAGGCTTTTCCCAGGGCATCGCATCGGATGGTTGCCCCCACCATTTTCCAGCTCCGCTCTGCTTCCCTGACCTGGAACTCCCTTTCCCCCCTCCCTAGTGGGTTGCACTCCTCGAGCTAGGTCGCGGGGGCGATAAGACAGACTTAACACGTGAAGTTCTGATGGCACCGGTCGGAGTTCCTAAAGACGCTGCCCTCCCCCCCCCCCGGCGGCCGTTGCCGTTGGGCGGGGGGGTCATCCCACTATCACTGGGTCGCCAAGAGTAGAGAGTTCGTGGGCCGGATGGAGGACCCCCAGGGGGCGGGGTAGCCGAGTCCCCTAGCGGCCCCTGGGGGGACAGGAGAGAGAGAAGAAGAGAGACAATGAGATGGCGGGGATTCCCAGCTCGCGGTAGGATGAGGAGGGATGCTGTTGATGAGGACAGTGATAGTGGTGGTGATGATGATGCTGATGCTGATGATGATGATGACGATGCTGATGCCGATGTTGATGATGACGATGATGACGATTATGATCAATGATGATGCTGCTGATGATGATAGTGCTGGTGCTGATGCTGATGCTGATGATTGACGATGTTGATGCTGATGCTGATGTTGATTGTGATGATGATGATGATGATGATGATGATGATGATGATGATGATGATGATGAGGATGATGATGATGATGATGACGATGCTGCTGATGCTGCTGATGAATGATGCTGATGCTGATACTGATGATGATGCTGTTGATGATGATTATGATAATGATGATGATGATGCTGCTGCTGCTGATGATGATGATGATGATGATGATGATGCTGATGATGATGACGATGAGGATGATGATGATGATGATGATGATGACGATGCTGCTGATGCTGCTGATGAATGATGCTGATGCTGATACTGATGATGATGCTGTTGATGATGATGATTATGATGATGATGATGATGATGAGGATGCTGATGATGATGATGATGCTGACGATGATGATGATGATGATGATGATGATGATGATGATGATGATGGTGGTGGTGATGATGATGATGATGATGATGATGATGATGATGATGATGATGAGATGATGATGATGATGGTGATGATGATGATGATGATGATGATGATGATGATGATGATGATGATGATGATGATGATGATGAAGGCGATGGAGTGATGATGATGTTCCCTTACACGGAACATGCGCAGTGCGCTCCGTCCACACACACAAAACAACTGGCTGGAAGGGGTAGTGGGCATGATGATACTACTACTGATGCTCTGGCAGGAAAACCATGTATCATGCCTTCCAAAGGGGGGTGTACACATTTTGAACGATGGCTAATGATGTTGATGATGATGATGATGATGATGATGATGATGAGGAGGAGGAGGAGGAGGAGGAGGAGGAGGAGGAGGAGGAGGAGGAGGGGGGGATTTGGTGGGGATGATGATGAGGTACGGGGATGGGTCGGATTTTTGACATCCACAGCCAAGGGCCCCACACGAATGGGACGGCCACGACATTGTCGCATGCGGGGCCCTGGGCGGCGCATTGGCCGCCCAGGGTCCTCACGGCGCCACGCACACACGGCCGGCGGGCCGGGCCGACCGAGCGGAACGGGGATCAACGGCACCGCAACGGGTACTTACTAACGGGTACTTTGCAATTTTGCCGAAAGTTGCCACTTTAGGGCCTCTTTCTGGCAATGCAGCGTTGCCCGCGTCGGGAAGGGTTGGGTTCGCTGGGTCACTTGCCAAAGTACCCGTTAGTGGAGTCCCCGTTTGAGGGGCGCTGAGGGGAGAACGCAAGTCGCGGCAGTCGGGCGGACCTCCAGCGGTACGCTCAGCGAGCCCGACCGCAGCGGCAACGACGGCGATACGGCGGAGAGGACGAGCCGCCAGGCACGACCCCGACACGGCGAGCCGGGGGGGGGGAACCCCCGACCGTGCTGGGGACTGCGCACCCAGCGACTCCCCGGGGGGAAGGGGACCCCGCCTGCGCAAGGAGGACCCTGGGGTCCCGACCCCACACCCTACAGGTGAGGCCCCCTCGGGGCGGGATGGGTCGGGAGGAGGAAGAGGAGGAGGAGGAGGAGAAAGAGGAGGAGAAGGAAGAGGAGGAGGAGGAGGAGGAGGAGGAGGAGGAGGAGGAGGAGGAGGAGGAGGAGGAGGAAGAGGCAGACGACTACGTTGACGGCGGCGGCGGTGACGGTGGCGACCGTAGCGGCGATGACGATGCCCGACCCCGACGACCGACGACCGACGACCGACCGACAGGCGACCAACCTGTCTCGACGCTCGCTGGCCGCCCAAAGGCCGCCCGATGGGCCGCCGCCGACGGCCGCCGATAAGTCTGCCCGAAGGCCGCCCGAGGGCATCGGCCGAAGGGGCCGCCTTCAGCCCTGAGACCAGCTGTTGCAGCAGCAGAAGCAAAGTTGCAACATTGTGAACGACGTGTGCAATGCATCGGCGACGGCTCCAGACCCTCTCGTGTTGTGAAGAAATCACGACGGGCGGTTTCTGACTATTTTCGGTCTCCGGGGCCCTTACCGGGCCTCGGGGCCGTCAACAAAAGACTCCGGATGAAAAATTGGTCTTGGGGAAGGGGTCCAGACCTCTGGGGGTCGACGTGAAAAAATCACGACGGCGGGGGTTTGAGTCGTCGGCACGGAGAAAATCGGGCTCCACATCGAGTCGCATCACAGATGCATCGGCGATGCGTTGCGATCCTTCGACCCCGCCTGCTCTGACCCCATCTGGAAGGCCCAGAGTTTGGCAGCACCCCAGGGATAGCCCTGAGATCTGACGCTGCCAAACAACTGCAGCATCACAGAATCACAGAAATCACAATCCAGGCCCAATCATTCTGCGGCATTCGTCGACCCAGATCGATTTATGAGGATCCGGAGGCCCGAATCGGCGCGAAACCGCCCGTTGTGAAAAGGTTGCAACGCCAGGATCTCAGGAACGGTCTGACGGGCCCAGAATCAAGATACATCCGTTCCAGATCGCCCTCAAAGCGTTCTGGAACGCTACGAACGGCCGCGGCGTCCGATACGTTTTCCAAACGGATTGATTCTCAGAGAGTTCCGATGTCTGTCGGTTTGATTTTTTCTCGAGTCTGCCTCTGTCTTGCACGGTGCGTCGGCCACGGCTGCGGCCGCCGCGCCGTCGGCAGGCCGCGCGGAAGGCGGCGCGCTGACCGACGGCTTCGTGCGCCGCCACTCGGACGAGCTCGCGGGGGCGCTTGGCGCGGGCGACCTGGACGCGGCGCGCCGCCGCCGCCGCGGGCCGCCGCCGCGGGCCGCCACCGCTGGCCGTCGTCGCCGTCGCCGTCGCCGCCGCCGCCGCCGTCGTCGCCGCCGTGGTGGTGGTGGTAATGGTGGTTCGGCGGCGAGCGAGGGGGGGAAGTGAGAAGGGGCGGGCCTTCTCAGAAGGCTCGGAAGTCCCTGGGCCTTCTGAGAAGCTTTCTAAGCCGCCAAGTGGTGGTGGTGGTCGTCGTCGTCGTCGCCGTCGTGGTCGTCACGGCGGGATTCGCCCCGAGGGGTTGGTCGGGGTGCGCCTTCGCCCGTCGCCGCCGCCTCGCCTACGGCCTTCGGGGGCCTGCCTGCCCGACCCGCCCGCTCGACCCGCCCGTCTGGTTCTGCCGCTTGTATTCCTGCTCCTAACCTTATGGTGTTCCAACCTGCTTTAGCCTTGATCGTCAGAGTGAATTTCGAGCACCAAGGAAACACCCCAACACTCGAGGGTTTTCACGTGGCGGGCCCTGGGAGACACTCTTTCGACGCTGTTTCGACACTATTTCGACACTTTTCTGGGTGCTCGAAATTCTTGCTATTGCTAGGCTGTGGTCCTTGAGCTTGATGGGATGAACATAATCCTAACCCCTCTCCTGCAAATCTCTTTCATGCTCCATCCTTTTCCCTCCCACTTTGTCTCTTCCCTCCTTCCTTCCCCCCGTCTCAGGGGCAGCGCCAACTACACGTGGCAGGTAAGGAAGACATACCATGTACCCCCAGGAGGGATACGATCGAAGACGAAGGGGGCGGGTATGGAGGGCTTGGGTCATTCATGTTCACTGGCACACGGGCCAATAAGAACGATCAGTATTTACATTTCTGTTGTTTCAGATGGTGATGGTGTTGATGGCGATGACGACGACGACGATGCTGACAACGATGGTTGTTTCAGATAATGATGGTGACGCTGATGGTGACGATGACAATGTCGATAATGATGATGCTGATGATGTTGGTGATGATGATGCTCATGGTGATGTTGCTGCTGATGGTGCTGATGGTGATGATGATGCCGATGATTGATGATGGTGATGATTATGACGATGACGACGATGACGAAGACGACAATGATGATGGTGGTGATGATGATGCTGAGGATGATGATGTTGATGGTGCTGACGATGATGCTCATGCTAGAGATTATGATGCTGATGCTTACGATGACGCTGATGATGTTGATGATGATGCTGATGATGCTGATGATGACGATGATTCTGATGATGATGATGGTGCTGATGTTGACCATGACGGTGATGATTAGTATGTTTATGGTGGTGATGCTGCTGCTGATGATGATGCTTTTTTCTCATACAGACGATGCTGATGATGATGATGATACTTGTGATGCTCATGCTGATGCTGATGCTGATGCTGCTGATGCTGCTGATGATGCTGATGATGTTTAAGATGGTTATGATGCTGCTGCTGCTGATGATAATGATGATGATGGTGATGGTGATGCTGATGCTGATGACGGTAACGGTGATGATGATGATGATGATGATGATGATGATGATGATGTTGATGTTGATGTTGATGTTGATGCTGATGATACTGTTGATGTTTAGTATGATGATGGTGATTATGATTATGATGATGCTGATGATGGTGCTAATGATGATCATGATGATGATGAGGATGATCATGATGATGCTGATGATGATGATGATGATGATGATGATGATGGCGATGATGATGATGATGATGATGATGATGATGATGATGATGATGATGATGCTCATGATGATGATGATGATGATGATGATGATGATGATGATGATGATGATGATGATGATGATGATGATGATGATGATGATGATGATGTGATGATGATGATGATGATGATGATGATGATGATGCTGATGCTGATGCTGATGATGATGATGATGATGATGATGATGATGATGATGATGATGATGAGGAGGAGGAGGAGGAGGAGGAGGAGGAGGAGGAGGAGGAGGAGGAGGGTGGTGGTGGTGAGATTTTGACGATCAAGGACGTTGTAGCCATAGTTCTGGTGGAACTGCACCAGTCGAGGGTGGATGTCACGGTCCGCTCACCGCTGGCCATCCGAATGTTTTGCGCAGACGTGCAGGGTGGCGTTGCTGCTGGCATCGCAGCGCGCGTGAAAGCCGAGGACATAGCTCTGGGCTGCGACTCATCGGGGGCAGCCCTGTCATCGTAGACCTTTGGCCGGCTCAGTGCGGAGAGCGAACGTGGAGGGCCTGGAGGAGATGGCCCATCTGGTAGCGGCAGGGACCATCAGCGCTTGGCACGCGCCTGGAGGGCGGCGGCCGAGGGAGCCATGCTGTTCGCGGAGGCGGGCTTCCTCCTGTCGCCGGGCGCGGAGGCCGCCGGGTATGCAGCTGCGACATGGGTGCCCGCACTCGCAGCCAGGGCAGGCGACGCTCAGGAGGCGGCCTCACAGCGCCGTGTGGACGAGCTCGTGGAAGACCTCGTCGCAGCCGCGGAGGCGGAGGGGGTTTCGAGGGAGCCGGCAGGGTCAGAGCGTGGCAGCTTTTGAGAGCTGGTGCACGGGTGGAAGGTTCTTGGCTAGAAGCTGTTTCCCAGAGCGAAAGTCATGACGATAATGGTGGTGTTGGCGAGGATGAGGAGCAGTTGCTGGAGGAGCAGGCGCTGGCCGAGGGGGAGGGGGAGGGAGAAGTGAGGTAAAATGGAAAAGGAAGGAGAAGCGGAGATCATGCAGGACGGGGTGAGAATTGGGAGGCTGCTGGCACAAGAACGCGCGGGCCGCGCCCGATATCGCGGTCGTCGCGGCCGCCGCCGTCGTTGCTGCCGCCGTCGTCGTTGCCGCCGCTGTTGTCGTCGTCGTCGTCGTCGCCGTGGCTGTCGCCGCCGTCCTTCGGAAGCCGTGGGGATCTTGCACAGTCCATCTTCGGGGGATTCGTCGCCGTCGTAATTGTCGCTCTCGTGGCTTTTGCTGTCGTCGTCTGTGCCGCTTCCGTCCTCGTCGTTGTCGTCGTCGCCGTCGCCGCCGCCGCCGCCGCCGCCGTCTGGCGGGCGGGCGGCGGCTCGAGGTGCGGGCCCTGTCGTTCCGGGGCTGGCCCAGCCAGGAGCCGGCCGCTCGTCTCCTCGTCCTCCTCCAGGGAGGCCCGCTCCTCCCTCCTGCCCCTGTCTTGCTCTCTCCCTCCTCCTCCTCCTCCTCCTCCTCTTCCTCCTCCTCCTCCGCGTTGTCGTCCTCATCCTCTTCTTCCTTCTCCTGTTCTTCCTTCTTTTCCTCCTCCTCGTCCTCTTCCTCCTCCTCAGTCGAAGAGGAGAGGTCGCCGCTGTTTGGCCGGAGTGTCGACGCGTATTTTTTTTTAAACGTGATCAGTACAAACCCCGCAGTCTACATTACATTGACGCAACGCTTCTCGTAAATCTTCCAAGCCCCGCAATATTACATGATTACGGAGCTGCGAACGATTCCAGCTCGCGATCCACAGAATGTGCGAACACTGCGGCGTGGACGCGCATTCGCAGTTTCCGTACCGTTACCTCCCGCCATTATTTGAGCAACCTGTGTTTATGGATCTTCTGCAAGGTTCCGGCAATTCGCCTCGGACTCCCGCCTCGGACTCCCGGTCCGATGGCGAGGGCATCAGCAGAAGGCGCAACCGCGATGAAAGGCGAATCGCCCCATAGGAGCGCCACGACTTTCTTCGACCCATTGCAACCCTACAGGCACTGTCCGCAGCTTCGCGCCGGGCATGGCTGGGAGACTCTTTCTTGGGCTGGTGCCGTGCTTCGGTAAGTGTGCGATCGTGTTGGCTGTCGTTTCGAGCACATCGCACCACCCGGATGGAACACGGCAAGTCAATGTACAAGTTTCATCGACTTCGGCTTCGGCCAAGGTTGACAACGGCATCCTCATGCTGGCCCGCACTTCGACATAGCGTTCGTCCCTGTGCAGGTCCGGGTCCCAAGGCGCCCACGCAACCATTTTCGTGGTGAGGTTCATCGAGAAGGATATCCAGTATCTTCGTGTGTTTCGTGGCCGTGTTGTTCTGGCTCACGCGCATGATGCCTGGTGGAGCCGGCCCACAGGGCGGCCTTGGCTTCGGTGCCATCACATCCCGCCAGCCGCCCTCTTCGCCCGAGCGCGAGTCCATGCATCCCTTCCTCCACTGGTATACAGTACGTGCTCGCATGGGGCGTTCTAGCCGCCATGGGCAGCGCTCAACAATGCGCCGTCGTGATCCTCGACCTCGGTGGGGCCGCTCTCGAGCTCGCGCGTTCCATGAGCTTCGCGGAATTGGCGGAGGGGGGCATGGTCGACGGCCAGCCAGAGGACGCCGTGACCTACATCATCGCGAACGTCGCCACGCATATCGGCCCACTAGGCGAGGAGTCGCGCCGACAAGCAGCCCGCGCACTCTACGAGTTCTCGAGGCGACGCAACCAAACCACAGACGTGCTGCTCTCGCTGTTTTTTTACGTTGCGATTCCGAGCAACGCACCGCGGTGGGGCTGGGATGACGCGGGCAGGCTGCAGCTGGCTGCTCTTCCGAGCGGTCGGCGTCGCAGCTAGCCAGTTCATGGCGGTGCGCCAGCCATGCGGCACAGGGCAGCCAGCCACAGAAGCCGAGTTGAACATCAGTCTCACGGCTACGCTCAGGCGCGTGGGTCAAATCGCGCATGCACCACGCAGCATCTTCAGCGCTCTTCGTGCGCCGCCATCGTTCGGAGGAGTCGTGGGCATGACTAACGACAACAGCAACGATGCGCATGACCCCCGGCGCACTCTAGGTGTCGACCCCTGGGCCGACAGCGCCGCCGAGCTTCCAGGTGCCTCAGTTGCCCTGGCGCGCGCTGCCGGCCCGTTGCAGAGCGCCGCGCCGCCGCGGGCAGCGCGCCCCGCCTCCGCGCGGGCGCCCGCGCGCGGGGCCGACTGCGACAGCGGGGCTTCCTCCAGCGCGCGCTCGGACCGGTCCGCCGCCAAGCGGTATTGTCTCAGCCCTGCCCGGATAGATGTCGGGCTCTCCTGGCAGATGGAGACTGCTGGACGACAGTGGCGCAGGCGCATGCAACGCCCCACTCGCGGGGCGCGTAGATTCACCGACGAGCAACGGCGCCTTTTCCAGAAGCAGGCAATGGCAAGGGCTCCCAGAGTACAGTGCCACATGGGGGCTTTCCGATGCCCGCGTAGATCAAGTTTTCCCCGGCGAGGAAGGGCGAGGCGACGGCGGGCGCCTCTCGGGGAGAGGAGGCGGCAGACGCCGCAATCAGCGGGGCTATGGCGGGGCCGCCATGACGCGGCATCTGCGGGGGCGAGTGCCACTTTCGCACTGCTTGCCTGCGGGGCATCGCGTCGCCACCGCAGGGCAGCGGCGGCGGCGACGCGTTCGGAGGTTGCGCAGATTCCGGGCCCATAGACGGAGCCCTGGACTCTGGCCCACATGCCGGGATTTCGGGAGTTGCCATCGCGGGCGCCGAGGGCCCACCTCGGCTGCGGCCGCGCCGCGAGACTGCGCCAGTGCTGCCATTCGCCGACGGCTCCATGCATATGCCTGGATCAGTCCACAGCTCGTGGTCAGTGGCCTCACTCGCCGCGGCCCAGAGCCACGCGCGCACCGACGCGCCCGTTGCCCTGCCGTCATCGCAGGTTCTCAACATGACAGTGCCAAGGTGGGCGACTTAGCCGTCGACCTTCTGGAGTTCTACCTCCTCGGCGTCGCTGCCGGGCCCCGTGCGTGGGGCGAATGGTGGCGCGCGCGGCCTGTGCCAGGTCAATCTGCATATTCTGGCTCCCCCTGAGATCTTCGGGATTGGGGGGGGGTCGCTTATTCTTGAAGGCCCAATTCTCGGAGGTGGACTCTCACATGAGCAAACTGCGGTTGGTGGCCAATCTTCCAACTTCCCGGCGGCAATGGGGGGCAGTTCGGACAGTCCCGCGCGGCAAACTCCTGGGCGCGAGTGCGCGGGCACTCGCGATGCTTAATTTGACGCCGCTCTGGATGATCAGGGTCGCGGCGCTGTCGGTCTTCAGTTTGAAGGCGACGCATTTTTCCCGTTTGCAGCCCATGCGAATCACGTGCAGGAGCAGCCCTTCAGGCAGAAGGCCATGCTGGTGGTAGAGCTTGCGACGCACCCGAGCCTCCTGCGCTCCATCCCGAACTGGGCGCGCAAGCTGGACTTTTTCACGCCGCGCGAGCCCGCCTTCGCGGACTTGGCTATGCCTGCGCGCCAGGGCGAGAACTGCGTCGCCATCAAGTCGGACTTGCGCCCTCACTTCGACATCCTGAGAGAGCTCCTCGGGCCATCGAGGGCTGCGGCCGTAATGCCCTGCCTCGTGGGCGTCGAGGCCCGGCCCCTGGCCGCGTGCAGGGCCGTTCTGGGGCTGGGCGACGACAGCGCTGCCTCAGACGCGGGCGGCGACACTTGCCCGCCCGGCTCGACGGCGGTCGTCGACGACCGCGCCCCTGCTGAAGAAAGGGCCACGTTGGGTCTCGACGAGGGCAGCGACGCTTGCGACGACGCCAGATGAGAGGCTATAAGACTGACGCTGGCCGAAGCAAGGGCCGTGTTCGGGCTCGACGACGACGAGTCCGAACAAGACCCCGACGCGTGCCTACATCCCATGAAAGTGGCGTGGGACGACGAAGACGGCGACTACGACCTTACGTGGGATAAGATGCACTCGCGTGACTGGGCGCGCGCGGCTACCTCCAGCCACGGGCGCGCGGCGTCAGGGGTCCAGCCCGCGCGGGGTCGGCGGCGCAATCGCTCGACTGGCCTTGCCCCCGCCCCGCCCTGACGATGCCGCCGGAAGAGACCAGGGCCGCCCCCGTCGCTTCTGAGGCGCGTCGTCGCCGCGCGGGGCGCCTGCCCCCCCCCGCCCCGCGTGGATCGAGGAAGCCTGGCTGGGCGCAGTGCTAGTCTCGTAGTCTTTCTGATGGCGGTTGCCTTTGCTATCTCCTGGATGGCGCAAAGCACCCCCGAGCGGGGACATGAGTGCAGTCCTTCGCGGGGCAGGCCTGAACGATCCACGGGCCCCCGCGCCGGTCAATTTCGCCCGCCCCGAGCGGGGGCGCGAATGCAGTCCTTCGCGAGGCAGGACATCACGATCTACAGCTCCTCGCGCTGGCGGTTTTAACCCACGTGTGGATCAACTCCAGTGTGGACGTGCGCACGGCGCCATCGTTGTGACTGGCCCAATTTGCAGCGTCGCCGCGGTCCCCCAGCGCGGCCGCCGCCGCCGCGGAGCCCGCGGCAGCTGCCGACGGAGCTCGCCCCTTCCAGCAAAGCGCCACGGAGGACTGCAGCTCCATGGGCCCCCCGCGAGATGGACCTCACCGACCGAGGGTGCAGCGAAAGTGGCGCCGTACTTCCGACTGGCCAACTCGCGGCTCCTGATGATCATTGCATGACCATTTCTCACGCAGGTGTTTTCGGCCGACTCGCACGCCTACGACAGGGCCATCTAAGGACAATCTCCCCCGCTTCGCAGACGTCGCCAAGGATGAGCACCTAGCGCCTAGCGGAAGTGCCGACCGTGGCCACCAGGACCAACGTCGTGCGCGACCTGGCTCCTGAGATCTCTTTCCACCCTGGTTCCATTGGGGGCCTGCCGCGACGCTCAGATGAAGCGGCGGCGTTCTCGCCGCCGTGGGCGTGCCCGACAGATGATTGACGCGGTCGCGGCTGGGCCCCCGACCTTCGCGCCGCCGCCATTGCCGTCGGATCTACGTGCAGAGTCAGAATTCGCTGAAGTTGCGGTCGACGCCGATGCGATGTGCGGCATATTTTTGGACCGCTGCGCCATCTTGGATATTGCCGACATTTCTGCAGCGCGGCCGTCGCGTCCATTGGAGCTGCTCCGACGCCCGGGCCGCCGCTAGCTGCGACGACGCCCGGGCGCGATGCGCGGGAATGCCCGTGGCGACTGGGCCCGAGTACCATTCTCGCAGTGCCCGACATGTGGGCAACATCTGGTAGCGTACATGGTCGCGCATATACAGGTCGCCAGCGCGCCCCGCGGAGCGCCCGATGAGGACGCGCCCTCCGGCGTCAACGCTGTCTCGATCACACCGCGAGACGCGCCGATCCGTGAGACCACCCGCAGCGCTCCCGCGCCCGCCCGGGGGCGGCCGTCGGCCCAGGTGTCGCCGCAAGGCGGCGGGGCTGATGCGCTACACTGGTGGCCAGCCACTGGCCCTGCCAACGAGTGCGCTACTCAGGTGTATCATAGTCGCGCGCAGCTCCCCTCGGGAGGATTCAGTGGCATCGTCGACCCAGGCGCGCGCGCCAAACTCACGGGCGAGAGGCTCGCGCGCCGGCTGCCCCGCCGAGCCGCAGACGCAGGGCGCCGGCCGCGGCGGCTCCCAAAGAGCAATCTTTTGAGCGTCCGAGGCGTTGTCAGCGGGGCCCGAGAGTTCACCCGTCAGGCGAGCGCCCCCATTGCCGTCGCGGATAAACAGGGCAAAGCTACCATCCACAGCTTCACAGCGCCCACTATCAGAGGATCGGGCAGCGACCCGCCCGGCCTGCTCGGCCTGCGTGGCATGGAATCCATGCGCGCGATCCTGGTCATGGGCAAGGCGAGTTGATTTTGCCCGGCGGCGGTGACATCACTCCAGTGCCCGCGGGCGCTGCTCGCATTCCACTGCTGGAGGCTCCGAGCGGACATCTCGCGATGCTCGCCGACGACTACGAGATGGTCGTGAATGCCGCAGGCAGTGCACCCCGCCGCAGCGTCCAGCTGCGCGCCCACATCGACGAGTCGGAGACGGAGACGGAGGACGCGACGCCTGCTGCTGCCTTTCCCAGCCAGGAGGTTGAAGACGGAGGAACATCGGCTCGCAATGAGCTGCGGCCCCCGCGCGGGTCGCCCCGGCTCTCCTGGCCCAGGAAGAAGCGTCGTGCACCAGCCTCGCTCTAGTGAAGGGCGTCGCGCCAACAGTCTCTAGAGCTGTTGGGCAGCGCGGGTGGCAGCTGCGAGCGGCCCAACCGACCAACATCATTTCTCCCCACTTTTCCATCGGCTTCAGTGAAGTCGCCCGACACAAATATCGACTGGTTTTAATTATTCTGCCTAGCCATATTGACCCTGGGAATAAATACAATCGTGCCAGAGAGCTACTGCATGAATGTCTGCTAACGTGCCGAAGACACCGCACCCTGTGCTGCAGTTGCCTTGGCAAAAAGGCTGAGACGCACCATCGAAGTGGTCGCGAAACCAGCGTTCGGCATGAACCCAGTCATTATTATGCTCCGCCGAGACAACCTTCCACATCGGCGAGACGATAGAACAGAGGCCAGCTTGTTTTGAACATGTCCGAAAGACTTGCTGCGCCGAGCGCCCTGCCATTGGGCGACGGAGCGCCTTCTTGGCATGGAGGGCTCCTCAGTGATCTCCCAGGCAGAATGCGGGTCAAAGCTGAAGTTGTGCGCCATTCAACGTGCGATTAGTTTTACACTGGTCTTGCCCGAGCAGGATTCTCTGCAAGGGCCTGGGCGAGTCACAGATTGTAGGGCCCGCGAACGCGCCGGCTGCTCTGCTTGGGAGAAAGCCGCGGCAGATTCGTCGAGCACCCAGCTTTCTCCAGCCCGTGCTGTTCGCCAGCCTGACAACCCCGATCCAAATAGGACGCGTGACAAGCATGCGCAAGAAGGCAAGACTCATAAGACGACAAAGTTCGGTAAAGCACATGAAATCGCATCTGCTGTTCCAGACGAAGTCATTACCAATGCGACCGCAGAGGATTATTTTATATCCGGTCTCAGCAAGGGCGCCGCGACTCGAGACCACGCGCTGCTGCGAAGGGCCTTCTTCGCGCCCGCCAATCACGCTTGACCGGTTGTTCTTGCTTCGCTGGCGGATGAGGGTGACCTTTAGAAGCAGAGCCCTCAACGCGAGCCAGGTAGTCTCGTGGTCAACACTTCGAGTTGGAGACCGCGATTCACTGCGCATGAGGTTTTGCAGTGCGACTGGACAGGCAGGACCTCCTTTCCTGTCAGACAGGCGCCCCTGTCGTTTGCCTTTCCCACCGATGAGGCAGAACGAGCGAAGGCACGTGAGAGACAGGGCCATGTGCCGGGCAAGCGCCCCAAGAAGTTCGACGCCGGGCCTCTCTGGCTTCGGCGCGGAGGAGCAGCTGGAACGATTGTTCCAGGACGCAACCGTTGAACGCGCCCGAGACCTCCAGTCGCAGAGCATGTGGCGGGATCATTCGCGTTCCCAGTGTCCACCTATCAGGCCACAGACGTCGCGCGTGCCCTGACCATGGTCCGTGCCTTCGGATCTGGCATGGACCTGCGTGAGTAACGCGGCGGTGAAGGCCGCGCCGCGCAGATCTTCATTCGACGACGCCTCGATGCCAGAGACAACTTCGACCTGGCTACTGGTTTCGATTGAGGCGACCGTAATATTTAACAGCACCTCGTACTGGCTCCTAAGCCCAACAGAACACGCGCGTGTGTTGTGGCGCCGTCTTGCCGGAGTACTGGGCCGCCTAGTGGTCTCAGCATCCGCGCTAATCATGGGGCTTGGCGCGCTGCGCGGAGGATGCGCCGCGCATCCCCTGCTGCGGGCGAGTTGCGTTGGTGCTGATGCGCCGCGGACGATGCTTATTGTTCGGGCAACTGGGCCCTGCTCGGCTCAGCGTGGTGCCGCCGTGGGAGCACGTGCCGCACATCTCCATGTTGGCGCGGTTAATCATCGACCAATGCCGTCTGGGGGCCACAGGGCCACGCGGATTCCTTGAGAAGCCGCCCGCAGTTCTCTCAGACTCGCCGCGCCTACATGCGCCCCGCAGGATCCCGAGGTGCAGCGGTCGCCGCGACCTCGGTGTCATCGGGGGTCGCAGCCAACGTGCCAAGACATCCCAGGTCTGGCCATGGCGCCCAGCTGCGCGCGCGGCGCGTGGCATCGTCACTCTTGCAGCCGCGGCGGCAGAGCGTCACGCGCCTACGGGGGCCCGCGTCAGCCCAGAGGCCCTGCTGGAACTTGAGCGCCTGGAAGAAGCCGACGCACCGCCCGCGCCGGCGCCAGCGCCGGCAACAGCAGCCGCACCTGCGCTGCCATGCAAGCCCCCCGCGCCCGACAGCGGGAGACCCAAGTTCCCCCGTGCGCCGCGGGCGCGCCGGCGATGTCCATCGCGCCCGCCGCAGTGCAGGCAGCGAACGCACCATGCGCTGAACGGTGTTCAGCATGTCCTGTCTGCCGCGGCAATCGCAGCCATCTGGGTCCACGTCGCGTCAAGAGCACAGAGAAGTGCGCCATCCTGTCGAATCACCGTGCTCTTGTCCAGGATGCGCGCGACGCCCGCCGCGAGATTGGGCGCGCCCTGACCGCGCCAGGCGGCCGGGCCAACGCCGCTGGTTTGACGAGCCGCGCAGGATTATCCAAGAGCGCCGCGCCGGCCAGCGCCGAATCTTTTTTCCCGCGGGGCCCGAGTG